GTTTTACCATTTCCTCTCACTTATTGTCATCACTAATTGGCTGTAAGTGGGGTGAGTTACGGAGTAGAAATGAGGCAGCAAGCATGGGCATAAAGGCTGAGGTTGCAGCGGCAAAAGAGTAGTTTTTTTTTTAGGAAAAAAAGATAGAAAAAAAAAGAAGGAAAGGAAGGAAAAAAAGGCAAGGCTGCTGTGTTGAGGAAGGAAAGAAAGGAAGGAGGAAATCTTGGCATTCTCTTCTTTCGGTTTTATCTTCTCAAACTCATGTCTTTCTTTTGGTTTAATTTGAGAACTAGGTGTAACTAAATTTTTAGAAGTTAGGGGCTGTTTTGAAGCCCCGAATATGATTGCAAGTTTGTTATGACATTTTTTTTAATTACTTTTATGAATGGATGAAAATTGGTTCACTACTTGTCTCATTGATGAATTCTTTATTTGTTTTCTATGGATGCATACTTAGTAAGCATATCTAGGATTCTAATGCTATGAATATGTGTGTACCTGCCCTTGTCGAATGAGGACCTACATATGTTCTAGAGTAGTACTTGTTAATTGCGATTAACATGTGAACCAATTTCTAGGATAAGTAAGACAACGCCAGTACTTACGATGCCTTGTGATGAGTCAAATTCTTTTCGTTCTTAATGATTTCTACTTGATAAATATATGAACACGCCATTCTAGATTGCATGCTAAGGACTAAGTTAAGTTGAAAACGCCATTCTCTTAACATACTACGTAAGAAAGAGTAATAGGTTGAGTTCTAACATTGAGCCAACTTGAGCATCTTCATCCGAAAATAAAAGAAATTTGAATGATACATAACATGTTTGCATGATTATTTGGTGGTGGATAGCAATACCCCTAACTCGTTTTTCTTAATTTGTGAACTACTTAATATATGTTTCTGTCCTGTTTTTGTTCGATTTAATTTAAATAGCAAATCAACTCCAACAATCCCAAACATTTGTGTGAGTATAGCTCTGTGTGTCTAGTATCTACATATAAACTTTCGTAGACTTTAGATAAGTATAAGTCGGTCTAATAATTATTTTTTGGTGGCTGGTCAGTAGGGACAGCAACCCAGTTTTTGTGACATTTTAGGTAGTTAGATAAAACAATCTTTTGCGGGAAAGACCCTTATTTTCATATGCTACAATTGACAAATCTTAGTGTTAATAAGGAAAATCAATAGGACATTTGTGTGCTACTTTGTAGTGTGCTTTTAATCCTATCAGGTGACAACATGAACCTCATCGGAACTCCTGAAAAGCTCAAGAGAAATGCCACACACCTTAAATCAGAATTTGAGATGAAAGATCTCGGAAAGACTCGATACTGCCTTATCTTAAAATAGAGCACCGTTCGGATGGAATCTTAGTACATCAATCGAACTACACCCAAAAGGTATTGTGTTGCTTTAAAGAGGATAAAGTAAAGCCTTCGAGTACTCTATGGTCATTTGACCACTAGATGCAAAACGAGATCACTTTCGTCCAAATGAGGATGATTAAGAGACTTTGGAGCCTGAAGTTCCTTATCTAAGTGTGATAGACGCTTTATTGTACTTAGCTCAATGCACTGGACTGATGTTAAAGACATCTTTCTTTACTTTACAAGTACAAAGAATCTGGGCTTATTATATCCTTATGGATCCTCAAGTGATGCCCCTTATCTCGAGTAGATTCTCCTCTTATTGGTTATGCTGATGCAGGTTACTTATCTGACATGCACAAGGTGCGCTCTCAAACGAGTTATGTCTTTATTGTTGGAGGCACTGTAATATATTAGAGGTCAACTAAACAGACATCAGTTGACACTTCGTTTAACCATGCTGAAATTAATGCTTAGGGCTGAGAACATTTGTGGGCCATATTCGAAGATCCTGCGATCTTTACCCCGTCATTGATGTCCCGATGATGATTTATGAAGATAACGCAGCATCGAACATCTCAATAAGGGTTACATCAAATGAGACAACACCAAGCACATTATGCCGAAGTTCTTGTTCTCACATCAACAGCAGAGCATCAAAAGATTGAAGTCACACAAATTTGTTCACAAGATAATCTGGCTGACCTCTTCACCAAATCACTATCGAAGGCGATGTTTCAAAAGCTTGTTCAAGGAATAGGTATGCGTAAACTTTCTGAGTTGTAACATTGTTAGTTCTCTTTGGAATTATGTTAAACTTAGGGGGAGTATCCTGAAGTATACTTGCTTGATCTTAATGTATTATTTTTCCCTACGATTAGGAGCATTTTTTGCACCTGGTTTTTTTCTACCTAACTAGGTTTTGACGAGGCACCCACCTTGGGTTAATCATATCCTTAATGACATCCCGTAGACATTTCATTTGACTTTGCATTCTTTCACGCATTTTTCCTAGGACTATGGGGTTTTGCCCCTACTTGGGTTTTACAATAGCCATTGGATTTTTTGTGAGACTTAGTTCCAGATGCAAGTTCCTACATTACTTTGAGACTAGCTTGTTCCCCGAATCAGTGCCGACAAGTCGACTTCTTCAACTCTACATGATGCCAAATCTACTTAAGTATTTACACACTCAAGGGGGAGTGTTGTGTTATAAACATTATAATTAAGTGTGATTGTGTAAATCCTAGATTAGATTTGATACTAGTTATTTTTCCGTATTAGGACTTGTATTCCTGGGAGAAGAAGGATTCTTCCTTCCTTTATTACTATAAATAAAGGTACTATGTAGGGGGAATAATACATCCTCTACACAACCCTACAAATACATCTCTCTCCACTCTATCTTTCTCTACCGTGCACCCTCATCTCTCCCCTGTCAGATAAAATAAGCCACAACACTAACAATAAAAAAATAGAATTTTGTGACTAATCTCAGTTGGGATATTTTAATTATTCAAATTGAACCAAAGGAAAAAGGGAAAACGATAATCTTCTTTGCTTCTCTCACATCCAAACTAGAGCACAGTAAGAAAGAGAGGGAATACCAAATCATGATATTGACAAGGACCTTCGAGATTGTCATCCTCAGAAAACATGGTGTTGCAGCCAATTCGCTGGCATTGATACAGAGCTGCTCGCTGACCCTCTATCCTCTCTCCTTGGTCTTTGTGTCTGTCTGAGAAAAATACGAGCATGTAGCAATGGAGACGTACTGGAGAATTAAGAGTTGGGATGAGTTTGGTGACGGTTAGGAAGGTGGCAGTGGTGGTAGCGATAATGGTGCGGTGACAGAGGATGGACGTGGAGGAAATTGGCATGGAGATTGTGGGGTGTTTGGTTATAGTGATTAATTTGGTTAGGGTGGTGGATTTATAGGGGTGGGTCCCACATTTTTAAAATAAAAATATTTAAATAAAATCATTTAAATATTCAATTAATTTTTTAATCCAATTGGGCTAGTGAGTGGGTCCTACCTTGAGCCATGTCAACATTTAACAAAAAAAATTGACAAAAAAACTAACGGAGGTCCGACGTTGCAACAAATTCGTAAGATGAGGTATGACATTATAATTTTTAAAATATGAGATATGAGATTGTGATTCGACCAATAGTTGAGGTAGTTTTGTGTAATTTACCAAGAAAAAAAAACAAATCATAATAGCTAGTAATTAATATTCTCTTTCTTTTTTTTATTTATTTTTAGGCTTTTTAGCCAAAATGGTCCCTAAGATTTGCATAACACATCACTTTAGTCCTTAAGATTGAAAATCAATAGCAATGGTCCCTGAGATTGTCCACCATTCATTATTTTGGTCAATCCGTTAAAAACTCCGTTAAGTGTACAAGAGCACTTGGTTTGAAGTTTGGGCAATTTTTAAAACTTCGTAACTCAATCGTTTCTTAACCAAATTTGACCCATAATACATCAAAATGAAGATAGGAAAGTATAGAACAAGATTATACCTATTTGGAAGCCCAATGATTGCCGGAGATAGCCGGAAAATAGCGTGAAAGGTGACTGGTCCGTAGGAAAACTGGAAAACTCACCGTAATTTGAGTAAACTTTAAACGTTCATACCTTCTTCAATACTCAAGACAATCAAGTGATTCAAAAACAAAAATCATACATCTCGATGAGAAAGGGAGAATGGTACCTTTCTTGAAGGCTAAATCACAGTGGTTTGGCTGGAAAATGGCTTGAAAGTGGCTGTCTTGGTCTCAAGTTAGCCACTTTCGAGCCGTTTTCCAGCCAAACCATTCACTTTGTCTCATTGAGAAGTATGATTTTTGTTTTTGAATCACTCGATTTCGTTGAGTATTGAAGAAGTTATGAATGTTTAAAGTTTACCCAGTATTGAGAAGTATGATTTTTGTTTTTGAATCACTCGATTTCGCTGACCAATCACCTTTTAGTCTATTTTCCGACCATGTCCAGCAACCATTGGGCTTCCAAATAGGTATAATCTTGTTCTACACTTTCCTATCTTCATTTTCATATATTATGGGTCAAATTTGGTTAAACAACAATTGAGTTACAAAGCTTTGAAATTTGCCCAAACTTCTGGCCAACAACTTTGGAACACTTCTATGGAATGACCAAAATAATGGATGGTGGACAACCTCAAGGACAATTTCTATTGATTTTCAATCTCAGAGACCAAAGTGATGTGTTATACAAATCTCATGGACCATTTTGGCTAAAAAGCCTTTATTTTTATTTTATAACAAACGATATTATCTACCAATGAACTATATGATTAAAATATGTGAAAACATGACCACATGACGTTGCACTCTTCTCCTCCTCAACCTAGACTTGGATGGTCCTCAAAGGTCCTCATCACAACCACTTATCTGAGGTTTTGGGTGGTTTTAGGACACCCATGTCTCTTAATAGATCTGTCCTCCTTGGTGTCATGCAGGAATACATGACTACTGTTAATTAAGCTATTGATTCTTGAAACCAAAAGTATGAGTTGTGCCAATTTAATAAAAATAATGTATTATGTAACCGATTTGAGTTTAGAGGACCAAGCAAAGACATTCAATTGATCAATAAAAAAAAATTAAACCATACGGGGAAGGGGACAATAAAAATTCATATATGAAAGTTAAATGTAACACAAGATGAGATTCTAGGCTATGAGTACTACTTTTGTGGATATGATCTCAACAAAACATGTTCCATCGACGTATCTAATATCATGCATACAAATATATAGAAGAAAATGGAACTTAATTTGCCCTCAACTCACTTGACTGGAACAATACTTTCCATATAAATAAGAGCTTCAAAATCTCTAACTTCATTGAGAATAGGAGGAATATGAAGATAGTTGAGATTTCCGGTACTAGAATTATAAGTGGTGGCTCTTCCACCGGCGGCAACCATAAGAAGCTCATCAGTTTTCCAAAATGTAAATGGATTCTCAATGTCTTTTAAGGGTCCAAAGGTTAAGAGTTTTGTCCATGATCTCTTAACTGCGTCATAATCATCCATTACCCATATTTCACATAATGTAGAATCCTCATCACTTGGGTCGCAACAAGAGCAAAAAGAAGCAATCGATTTATTACACAGAAAAATATTAGAAAACTCAAAATCCGATTCTCTCCTAGAAGGCAATTGTATTCTATGAAATATCTCATCACCTAAATCAAATGAAAGTATGTATTTCTCGCCATCAATTGCAAACCAATAAAAAAATCCATTCAAGTACACTGAAGAAGAATAATGATACGTTTCACTTGATATATCAATCTTGATCACTCTCCAAGAGTTAGCAGCCATGGTATATACCTCAGCCGTGTGAGGAAGAGCAATACGATGATAATAGTATTGCTGATCATCTGAATACTCACAATTTTCTATAATTTGCACAACCTTGTAGTCTTTAGCTTTGCAATCATAACCGAATCCCAATCCTCCAAAGATCGACTCCAATTGGAATTTTCCCTGAGGACGGGAAGGTAAAAGAAGGTATGAAGGGGGAAGTTGCCTGAATTTCCCCGTTGCAGGATTGCATAAAAGAACATTTATCAAATAAAGACTTGTCCCTGCTATTACACAGACAATCCCATTGCAATAGCCCTCAATCTGTACAAAATCATGACCTTCCAATGGAAACGGTATATTTAGGTCCTCAACATCATAATGAAGGTTGTGCTCATCACTATCAATGGAAAGATTAATCATGGACCAGAAAACTTCTGGTTTCCAACTGTTATCCGGGAAAACATGAGCCTGAGAACGGCTGAGAAGGATGCAAGTGGATGATGATAGTTTGTTGTCCATGGAATTGTTGAGGTGTTTGGCCACAAAACTTAGACTATTGATGAGAGTGCACCAAGACTTGCATATGCATTTGAATCGCATCAGAGACTTGGGCGGCAACCTGGATAGTGTTTCGACCACCCTATCTTCAGGAGTTTCACTTTCACACACCTGAGACATTTTAGCAATTTTGTTCCACAAGAATTCTTCACGTATATATACACAGGAAAGAAAACCACCAATTTGAGAGCCAGACTAAATCAAATTACAAGCCCCTAAGGCCTGGTAGATCGAGGTTCAATTTCAACAGTACTAAATAAACTTGGATTTCCAGGACCACAACATGTATAGCCATAACATGTATAGCTGTCAAAAATAGGGACGATTGAGTCAGTTTCGAGTTTTATGGAGGATCATATGTTCAAATTTTACTATTTTTTAATCTTTTTATTTGATACAAAACTAACCATTCAAATTTTACTTTTTAATTCTACATTAAATTGATAATAGACACATTTTCAATGTTTTCCTTCTCAGTAATCATTTTGAAATTAAATAACCAAAAGCATTCTTAAATACTAAAATAAAATAAAAAATCCTATTTGCCGTTTTTGTTTTACACGATAATTTTTTAAAAATTATTTTGTAAAACATTAAAAAACGGACCCTTACTTTTTGCAGAAGAATACTCATAGGCTTTTCGATTAAAAAACGTAGAATAATGTAAAGACACCTTAAAGAAAATGCAAAGTTAATTTATGATCTCGAAACAAGAATATAATTGTGTTATTGTGATGCATCATTTTGGTTTCAGAAATTTTTTTAATCAAATGATTGTAGTAGTAGGTTAAATTGTTAAATGTTAAGGGAAGGGGATAGGTGAAGGTTGAACTTGCACCACGGCACACTATTTGACACACCCCGTCCCGAAGGAGGGCATGCTGGCCGTCACGTGAGAGTGACGTAACCATTTGCACAGTACGGAAGTTTTAAGATACAATTTATAAGTTGATACACCCGAAGGTGAGTCCTAATTTTGTCCAATCTGTCAGAACACCGTCGAATTCCTCGTAGTCACCACACCTTTGTGATTCCTGAACCTGGAGGGGCGCAAAACCAAAATTGAGTGGGTCAGTAAAACAATTCTTTTCAAATCCAATTTTTTCTCAAAGCATTGTAACCCCTCTCCGTAAAACCTGTATACTTTCCCAGAAATGTAAAATATAAATATACATATATATTCTCAAAACTTCATTTTTACTATCTCAACATTTTTCTTTATATCAATCATGTCATGCCATGTCTAATTCAACAGTTAAGTATGGATGCATCAACAATAATCATATCAGGTGCAAGAAAGTAATCAACCGGAGGCCCTCTAATAGCCCTGTACGGTTGAACCTAGAGCTCAAAATCTATCAATCTCACACTCTGCCGGAGTCACTCCACGTGACCTGTACGGCCTTCTGCACATAAGTTACGCTCTAGTGCTTCTCATAAATCATCTGTGCACATAATCTAAGGTCACCCACCAGTCGGAATCTCACTAACACTCTCGCGACTGGCCTGTCGTACCCACTCCACGTGGACTGTACGACTAGCATCTACTTGGATCCAAGACGAGCGTGCGATGCGGTGAATACTATAAGCACTAAACTATGGTGCAGGATTTGAGCTCAATATACATCAACATCATCATAACAGAAATAAATACTCACATGTGCGTCCACCGCACCATTTCATACATATGCATCATAAATCAATTCTTACCTGTGCGTCCACCGCACCAATTCATACATATGCATCATATATTAATTCATGCATGGCATTTCAACTCACATTTCTATATACTTTTCATATCAATTCTATGCATGGTATTTCACTTCCCGTTTTTCCACATAACTCATATGCATTTCATTTTAAACATATTTTCATTTCAATTCAATTTCTGGGAAACGTCAAGTATATATATATACGGAAAACAAAACTGCCCACTCACCTGGAGTTCGTCCAACAACTCCCTAGCACCACACATCAAGGCGTCACGACGATCGCCGCCTAGAATAGTAATCAAATCCAACCTCAGAATTCATATCGATAGAATATATAACTTATATAAAATACGTCACTACGTAGTTCGATCCGGAAGATCTGCCACTCAGATTTTAAATCCATAACTTCCAGAGGTCCACAATATATCTCTAGGATAACCTCCTAAAATTTCATTACCATCCAACGGTCGGATCTCCGTCAATTTCCAAAACTAAGTGACGGTTAATATTTTATATTATGGACTTACAATTCCAATTCCGGAAGATCCGTAACTCGGATTCCCAATCCGTAAGTTCCAATAATCCTCAAATATTACGTATTACAACGTATCAAAGTTTGGTAACGATCCAACGGTCGGATCGTCAATTCACATTTTTACCTAAATGTGAAAACTATAAAACGTTATTCGAACACCTAACCAACAATCCTTAATAACTTTCTCATACGGTGCTCAATTTGGGTATATGAATATACCACGGTGATCTAATCGACGTCACGGACGTCGACATATTTTTAAAATAATTTTTTACTGTAGCACGCGCCCCCACGCGCCAAGGAAGGCACGGACCTACGCGCCCCCACGCACACCTTCTTCTTCCTTGGGTCGCCGGACTGGTTTTTCCGGCGGCCGTTTTTCAAATTGCCATAACTTTGTCATTTCTCAACGAAATCAAGTTATTCAAAAACGAAAGTTGTAGCCCTTGAAGAGACAAAGAGAATGGTACCTTGCACAACACCTAGTTCGCCGTGGTTTGGCCGGAAACTGCCTCGAAAGCCTCGGAGGTCGCCGGAAACTGGGTATTTTTCAAATGAGTATAACTTCTTCAATACTCAACGAAATTGAGTGAAACAAAAAGGAAAGTTGTAGTACTTGACGAGACGAAGAGATTGATACCTACCTCGACTCCTAAAGCGCCGGGGATTCGCCGGAAAGAGCCTCGAAAGCTCCGGCCAAACTTTGAACTTGTCGATCTCCGTGTTCTTACGTCCAAAAACTTCCAACGAAGCACTCCGAGCTTCCTTGGGACCTCACTAAGCTCACTATGAGCTTGGATTGTCCTAAAAATCAACCAATTCAAAGCTCATGAACAGTACACTTTCATGGGGAGTTTAGAATCTAGGTTTTCCGAAGTAAAACTTACCTGAAATGGATACCAACGTGATCGTGAAGTCCTCAGGATTCCAATGGTGGTCTCAAACTTGACGTTGGTATAGATTTAGGGTGGTTTTGTGGTGGTCCGTGTGAGTTCGAAAGAGAGGGAGAGAGAAAGTGAGGTCTGAGGAAGAGAGAGAGAGTACATACGGGAAATGGGGAGGGAATCAGGGTAGGAGGCCCTACTTAAATCCCAAACACAACTTTAAACATACTAATGTAAATCCAATTGTTAAATTTTCGCCCCTTAGTCCCGCTTAAGGGCATTTTGGTCTTTTCACGTCCTCGGAATTAAAATTCCGGGACGGGCTGTGACACTATTGCTTTATGTCAATGTGGTAAAACGTCATCTGCTTTGTTTTAGAATTAATAAACAGACACATTTTTGTATCTATCAGGTAACCAAAAAATAGAAAAATTATATAAGATGTGTGTGAGATTAAAAATGATGTGTGAAAACCAGTTCCAATTTTGTTCTTCTTGATATACAATTTTCATTATAATTTTGAAAGTATTGGTGTGTTGACCTTGTAGCAGAGATGTAGTGAACATTTTCTTGAATTCATTCTTCATATATAAGATGGACTATGGGGTAGCAAAATCTACCGTCTTCAATTTTGACGAATTTGTTCCTACAAAATAATTAACACCTCTTATAGGATTTTTAGTACTTGCACAAAGAGGGTTAAAATCACACCAAATATTTGCAAGAGAAAAATGTTATTGTCGTAACAATACTCATGCAAGGTCGTTCCCAGAAAGATTTTTTTAAAACAATTTATGTAAAACTAAATCTTAACTAAATCTTAATTAATTACTTGAAACAAAGTTTGGAAAAAGTTGATTTTTAATTTTTAAAATTTTCAAAAAAAATAAATTTCAAATAACCTAATTAAAGAAATCAGCAGGAGACCAATTTTAAAGAAAACAATTTGAAAGGAAATGGTTTTAAAAGATCAAATTATGAAGCACTAGAGTTCTGCTGTCATCTAGACAATCCTATGTAGTTTTACCAATTACTTATGAATTATACATGCAGTTTGAAAGATTAGGTTTTCCTAATGCATATTCTACTTGTGGCATTCAAGATAGAACGTATATCAAACATACAAGTCGTCTGCAGAATTCAGATTAAACGTAAACATGCATGACTCATTACGTTTTGTGAAAACCCTTTGAAAAACCATGCATTTCTTAAGACGTGGTATTCGCCCTAAGTGAATTTCTTATCAATCACAAGATGTATTCCTCGATTTCAGGATGACATTCCAACATAAATTGCATCCAATTACTTATCTAAACATCATAATGGTAGCTAATCATTAAGACAAATAGATAGTTTAAGCATAGTGACTAATAAGAAATTAAATAAAAGCTACATATTCATGCTAAGGCTCATGGCCTTGCCCTTGCGAAAGAAATTAGTTACGCATATTCATAATATGAATCAAAAGGAATTTTATTGAAATAGAAAAAGATTGAAAACACCTTGTAGAATAAAGTCTGAAATCCGCCAGAGCCTTCGGCAATCCTTGCAAAAGTTCGTAGAGAAAACCTATGGCTGGCCACCATTATTTATAGTATTACAATTAAATCCTTCCTAAAAAATATCTTAGAATAAAACTAGGAAACAAACTATAATAAAATAAAGGCTTTTTAGCCAAAATGGTCCATGAGATTTGCATAACTCCTCAATTTGGTCCTCGAGATTTGAAATCAATACAAGTGGTCCTTGAGATTGCCCACCACCAATAATTTTGATCATTCCATGAATAGTTATTTTAAATATGGATTAAAATGACAAAACTACCCTCAATGTAATAAACAATAGGCCAAAGTGATTTGACAAAAATTTAGGGTATTTTTGTTACTTTATTCTTATTTAATGGAGATTTTTCACAGAATAACCAAAATGATTGACGGTGAACAAACTCAAGGACCAATTCTATCAATTTCAAATCTCAGGGACCAAAGTGAGGAGTTAAGCAAATCTCAGGGACCATTTTGACTAAAAAACCTAAAATAAACTAGGAAACAAATTGTTAAACAATAAAGGAGAATCTACTTTATAACTAATTAGCCACGTTTTAGGCCTTGGCCACCTCCAATACAGGCTCAAGATAGCTTG